GACTCCGAGGACAAGTTTGTTGCGGTGGGTGGTGGTGCCTTCAGGGTTGTGAGGGGCTGAGGAAGAAGAGGCTGGTCGTCACCTCTCCTCAGTTGACTCCTCACCGGTGCCCGCTGCGTTGTCCAGGTCACGGCCTAGCTGTGTTTCGGCCCAATGAAAGAGTCGATCTTGGCGCCCGATGAAAAACAAGACAGACGGTTGTTCATCGAAGGAAAACAAAACATCGAGATATCTAGATCCATCTCCTCCGATGAGGCCACGTCCGAGGCATGGAGTTCATTGAGAGCTTGGCCGGCCAGGGAGATCTGAAGACGGGAGCCGAGGTTGAAGTCAAATCTGGGGAAGGCTACGGCTCGGTAGCGCCGCAGCGGCACGAGCAGGAACTGAGGAGTCGGATGCACCACCCCCACCCACACTTTACCCCAAAGCGCCAAGACGCCAAGACCCCCGGTGCCGCCTCCAATGGGTACAAGTACCTACTTAGCCGCATTCTTCATTTGACGACGACATCAACAAGGCAACAAGAAGCAGTATTACCTGGCATGAATAATCGGATTAGACGGAATCAGCATTTTCCTAGCTATCAAGTCCAGCCTCTCCAATGCTAAAATCGTCGATCAACATACAAAGGAATACTTGGTCCCATTACAACTGTCATCATCGTCGTCGTCGTCCTCCGAGGAGCTGTCCTTTGATATAGCACTGAGCTCTTCCTCTCCAATCTGTTGCCCGATTTTATGTAATTTATAGTCCTTGTCAGAAACAAAATTTCGGGGTGGTTAGGCATAGGTGTTCAAGGTGCCGTAACTTTATGAGTACCGCCTCAAATGGAGGGCCCGGGTTAGGATCAGCAAATTCGCTCCCGTTGAAGATGACGATGCGAAGAGACACCAAGTTTGGATATACGGCTTGAACAAGTGGAAGACAGCGCAATGCTAGGGATATCTGTTTCCGCACAACTAGGCGTCTCATGCTTGGGCTGGGTACCGGGTCCCGAATGTTCGTTTTGAAGTCTGCGCAACTTTCGGTTTGGATATACCGCAGCTGGGGACAAAGCTCCCGTAGGTCATCCACAACATCCCCGCCACCGAATGATTCGAATAAGGGGGAAGCTTGGCTGATGTGGTCCAAGATGAGAACCTGGAATTCGGGAAGAAGGAAGATTCATGTACCTTGGGCTCATTTTGATTATCACATTGGTTTCAGTAAACAGGTACTGTCTGCAAATAAAGTAAAAGTGTGGTTGATTTCTACCAATTATTCAAACAAAACAACAACCGGTGATTTATTAGAGCGGTAAATTAAATGCATAGGGTTACCTAGTATCTGACCAATGAGAAGACAGGCGGTGGCCCGCCCTAGCACGACGCGTTGGCCAAGCACGGGTGTGAACTCCAACTCTCAATCCCAACCTCTCTCTCACTTTGAATTTGATTTCAAAAGAGCACAAGCCCACACCGCCATGCTCAATCGGCTGTTTACAGGACGCGCCTGCGTTTCATGGCGGCAGCGTCCTGGTTTCCAAATATTTAAACGCCATAAGCATTTCGGACTGAAAGGATTCAAAGCAATCTACTCGTCCTTTCCCGCCACGTTATTATACTACAGCCCACGATCTCGCTCGGGTTTGTTTGACCACAGAGAACTAAATAGCCGACCAGACGACCTCTTTGATGAAACACTTGCAGTAACGGACTGGCATGGCGCTAATAAGGGGCTCGTGTATCCATATATCGACAGCCTCAACAGACGGCCCCCAACAAAGAGAAATTCCACTGGCGGTTGGTGGTCATGACCATCCCCCCCCCATAGAAATTTACTAATTCTACCTGACTTGCAGTCGCCAACGGGGCCGCCATGTATCCCTACACATTTCTGATGCAGGAGGTTGTCAATCGGAATTATGACCTGTTTCTCGATTGTCAGGAGATGGGCAGGAAAGTCGAGACTCCTCATATTTACACCATCCCCAAGGGTAGGTACCTATTTTTGATCGTCTTTGATTAATTGATTCTCAAGAGCTAATCATCTCTACCAGGCACCCAAATTCCCAGTCATCTAATTCTCATCAACTCCTGGACATGCAGGTTTTTCTTGATGCCAGCCCGCGGGATGAAAATAGAAGGTTTGAGAAAATGTATCCGAAGTGTAACCGATCGTTGCTTACTATATCTTTCTTGATCAGATTTCAACACATGTTTGGACGAGTTTTGGGACGAATATGCCATCAAGGAGACCGTGGTGGACTGGCTGATAAAACACCCCTATCACCAGGCAATACCGGACGAGGACGACGCCGAGTGGATGGCCGAATGAAATTCCACCGGGTTCCAAAGAGCCGAAAGTTAAATATTCTAGGGTCGATCGATATCTGGCTAATATCTGGGTAATGCCCTTTTCAGACTTCACCTGACCAGGACCTCTTTGATTGTTGACCTGCACCCATGAGGTATAGCAATTAATGCGGCACGTGATTTCGTGGTTGTCCCGCGTCCCGTTCCTGGACGTCGGGTGTTTGTCTAAAAGCAACCTCGATTGATCGGTTGATCCACAAGTATAAGAACATCGACAACTTGGCCCAAATCGAAACAATGCACGTACAGAGGCAATTGATTGCGACTTTCACACAATTTCCCAATGAGATTTTTCGAATTAACAAGGGGCCATTTCCTTTGACCAACGTCCAACGACAGAAAAAGCAATGTTTCCAAGACCGAAGTTGGCCGGCGTGGCTTCAATTCTGTGCGGGGTTTGTCGAGACAACGGCGTGCATTTTCGTCTTTATCCCTTTACGAAAGATTAGACGGCACCTAGCGCGTCACATGCTTGACGCTTCTGGCACTAGAACTCTAGACTATCGGAGACGGTCCAGGTCCTAGAGCATTCCAGATCCAGACTCCGGGTCTACAATACTTCGCGCCTCAAATATCGGCCAAGCCCAGCCCTTCCTCAAACACCACTTCTGCCAATCAACTTGGATCTAGATCACTTGGCCATGTACGAGTGCGGAACCTGCGGGAAGGGCTTCCCAGCCGGATGGCAGGCGCGCGAAAACCACTGTCGTTCAACGGGACACGCGCGCCCGTTCCGGGATCGCGACTACGAGTGCTCTTTCTGCTACTACGACTTCTACACCTGCAGGAATGCGATAATCACGAAGCCGAAGAGCATTTCTTTTGTCGCCCCTGCGACCGCAAATTCCAGAACTCCAACAATATCAAGCAGGTAAGAAGAACCTATCCTTGTCCCAGCCAACTCACCAAGGAAACTAGACTAACCTCGATGGCCAGCACCTGAACTCGAGAATCCATCGCGGCACCAACATCAAGTGCCCCTTTTGCGGCAACCAGTACGCTACCGCCACCGGCATGGTCCACCGCCTCGAGGGCGGCTCCTGCTCGGTTGCGTCTGGTCTGAACCGTGACGAAGTTTACCGTATTGTGCGCTCCAAGGACCCCAGCGGCATCATCTCCAAGAAGCTTATCGGCTGGACCGGAGACCAGGCCGACAGCGGCGGCTACGAGGCCACCGACCGAGCCTGGAATGGCGATCAGTGGGAGTGCTATTTTTGCCATCGCGAATTCGGCTCTAGACACGCCCTGAGCCAGCATCTCAACTCACCTGTCCGTATGTATATTACCTACCTAACTTTGATTGTATGACATAACTTTAACAAGAGACGTGACAGACCGTCATAATATGTACCACTGCCCCAAGCCCTACTGCCGCATGGACTTCAAGACTTTGGCTGCTATCATCAACCGCTTGGAGAGCGAGTCGTGCGGCGCCATGCGCTTCGAGGCAGTCCAGCGCCGCATCGGCGACATTGTCAGCGGTAACCGTCTCATCGCCTTCTGATGTTTCTCGCGAGGCAAGTGAGGTATGGATAGATGGATATCATCTTGGCTCTGTCACAGCGACATTCCTGCCTTGTCTATTTTCACTCCGAATCACCACATACTAGGCTCATCATTTTGTCTTTTTGCTCTGGGTCATCTCATCTTCTTCGGCGTTTTTGTTAGCAGCGGTTATTGGGATTTTCTTGTCTTGTAGTCGGTTCGTTTCTGCTGTTGTGCCGTGTTGGGTGACTCAGACATGGGCGATATCTGATTTATAGGTCAGGGATATTTCTAGCAGATTTTGTTTATTAGCGGATTAGGTGAGACAGGATTATCAGTCGCTTCTCTTCAGGCCATATCATGCCACGTTTAAGGCCTCTCATTTTTCTTTCTTTCTGTTTGTTGCTGTGTTTTCTATTGTTTATGGGCGGGCTTATAGTATCCGATCATTATTATTGTTGTGACAGAACCGCTGAGCTGGTTTCACACTGATTTCGCTTACCGAAATTACGAAAGTCGAACATCTCTCTCTTTTTCACCGCTCGCTGTAGGAACATAACTTTGTTATCATTGACAGTGAGGTTGAGCAAAGTCAGATTCCGAATACGAAGTGTGTGCATCCCTTATCAAGAAAAGGGCGGCAGCAATCTTTCGGAATAAAAGAACAAGCATATACGCCACATCATCTACAGAGAATGAGTCATGAAGGAAACGGAGCAAAGAAATGTCGCAAAGGACGAAAAAGAAGATGGTAATCTTAAGGAAAAAGCTGATGGATAAACGGCACCGTCTCAAAGCAGAAAAGAGCTACGCCTCTTCAAGGGGAAAATAAAGGAAGGAAATTGAATAATAAGGATAAGAAGTTTTTCCTCTTATCAATTTACCACGGAAACAAAATTCCAACCAGGTTTGTAATCAACGCCAATACTCACCGCAAAAAGAAAACAAAAAAAACCGGTCCTAACCACGCCTCATCATGCTGACTGACTGCGCAATCCCAACCCAGGTACAAACATTTTAATATCATAGACGATGTTAAGACCTCTATGCCAAGATCGCATGTATAATCATGATATACGTGGATGGCAGAGAGCGACTGGGACTAACAGACTGTTATGAACCAGACAGGCCGTACATTAAAAAAAGAAAAAGAAAAAGACCCGGGCAGAGGCCGGAATCGAACCGGGCTCTCGTGGTCCGGAGACAGACCGCGCTGCTCTACCACTGAACTACTCACCCCGGCATACATACGTTATTGGCGAAAGAAGGATGTGTAAGATCATATTATATAGCAGGTAGGTAGGTAATTGTTGGGTAGGTAGGCTCCTCTGGAAAGGTTATGATACCCGTAATTATGTTTGCGACCTCGTTGACAAGTTGGTAGTAACCAATTCCCAAGAAAGTACCTTAACCATCACAACGTGTGTTATCGTCATCATAAAAGTCACATCAGAATCACTCGCGGACAAAAGCAAAACCTGGATCGGAGCAGAGAGAGTTATACAGAGCGGGTCCTAAATCGAACACCAATGCAATTAAATTGTGATAATCATCATATAAGTTATACGCTCAAGAATGACTAGGAGCGAGGTGGAGTTGGTACTAATGAGGCTCCCCTGCTGCTGGAACGGTTGAACAAAAGTAACGAATAAAGAAGGAAAAAAGCTCAACAAGCGCCCTCCCATTCCTGCTTTGCATCCCAATTGTTGTCCTCTGTCTGTCCTAACGCCGAATACCGAATATCATCATGTCCGTTCCTCCTTGGAGACTGAAAAGAAAAAGGGGGCGTATGAAGACGTAACAAACTTCGGGCCGTAGCCATGCGAGTTGAGAGGGAAAAAAATCTATTAACCATGCAGTCATAAAGTGAGTAAAAAGAGTATGAGTTGAAAAAGGAGAAACGTTGTAGTCGTGTGTGTTAGTCGTCATAGTCATTCGCTTGTAGAACCAACCGCACTGTTCTTTCATTTGTCGCTGGTTGACGTCGAAATTTTGCCTAAGCAGAGATAGTTCGCTTAGGAGAAGATAAAATCTCATAGAATGCGACGTGACATGGCATCCGCTCTGAGGAAGCGCATATTCTGGTCGATATTGGGCATATCGCCATATGGCGAGCCCGACTCGTCCGGAGGCCCGACAACCGGGGGGAGGGACGCGCTTGACGGAAGCTGCTGCGAGTATGCGTCCAACTGAGACGGGCCGGGCAACGGCTCACCACCAGGATTCATACCGGGGGGCCCATTAGGCTGTCCCTGGTAAGCCTGGTTGGCAGCATCGGAATTCATCAACGATGGAAAGCCGGCCATGAAGTGAGCGGGATGGCCAGATCCCATGGGCATCGGTGGCGGCGGGTTCAGTGCAAACGGTTCCGCAGACTGGAAGGCCGGCATGTTGGGTGGGCGCCCCATAGTGCCCGGGTGATAACTGTAAGGACGCTGTTGGCCGCCAGGAGCAAACTGTGTTGCGAAGAGGGGAGTCAGTGATCTTCGCGGATCTTGCGAGAACGGGTACCAATGAGGCGGAAGGTTAGGGGGATTTACACGCTCACGAGCCGGGCTCTGGTGTAAGGGAGCTGTTGGAGCCTGTACCCCCGAATGTGAGGGGCCTTGGCGGGTGGCATTTGCATTTGCCGTAGATGGTGAGGCACGGAAACTGCTGTGTCTGGCCCGAGTCCGTCTCCTAGATTCAGAAGCCTCCGAGGGTGGCGACCGTCGTTCTCCGGTCTGCCATGTCCGGGGTGGGCTGGCGTCGAACCTCTCATCCCGCTGTGCCATGATGCGAACCAAAGTCTCGCCAAATCTGTGCGTTGTAAGTGGAAGTCTAAGCTTTATGGCATCTCGAGATGAAACTTACGGGGAAGTCCTGTTATCGCTGGAGGGTCGAGTGCCGGTATATCGCGTATGACGATAAAGGTCTCGCAGGGCTTGGGTGTTGGCCGGAAATATGGGCTCGGAGTGAACCTTGTCCCGACAGTACGGACAGCTATCGGACTCCTCGAACCACTTCTTGATGCAGTGATCGCCGAAGATGTGCTTACAACCGGGAAGACGGAGAGGAGCTTCGTTGATGCCTTCGGGGTTGGGTATGCCAAACTCATTGTAGCAAATTACACAAGCTGCATGTAGGTGTTAGCGAGTCTTTTGGTTGCATGGCAGGGTGGGGAACAAAACTCACTTCGCTCGCTCTCTTCAAGACTGTCCATGTCAACACTCTGTAGCGCCGAGAGCGCCTTCTTCGAGGCAATCCGCTTGTTGGATATCTGGCCACGGAGGATCTGGTGGGCTCGAACTTGAGCTTCGCCCATGTCACGGTGATAGTTGCTACTCCCAACCTGGAACTGTTCAATGAACCGCAACGCCTGATCGCCATCCAGTTGATCCAGATCCTCATCACTATCATAATCCGAATTTTGGGCAGCTTGACGGGGGAGTCGTTGCGGTCGAGGGACCGTATAGTTCCGACGACGTTCCGTGTTTGGAGGTGCTGGCGGGGCCGGCAGCAAGTCTGGGATTTCTGATGCGGCCGTAGGAGTCGCCTCGACTCGGGAAGGCTCTCTCAGATCGCCGAAGAGCAAGGGGCGAGACTGTGGCGGGCCTGTCAACGGCGCGCTATTCCTATTTCCAACTCCATTACTAGGGTTCAGTCCACGTGGGGACTCGTCCAGACTACCGAAAAGCGGCGGCCGGTTAGTGAGGATATCGGGGCTCGACTCTCCGGAGCTCGACATGGTGGAGTTCAGGTGAGACGGAGTCGGCTGAGGGTTGAGGGCGGGCAGACTAGGGCCGCGGGTGGCACCGGACTGGATACTCGGGTGGGATTGAGCGGGGTTCATGCCTCGGTCGGCGTTCAGCGAAGTGGACGGGTTAAAGTGACCAGAGCTAGCGTTTCCGTTATTCGATTGCGTAGGTTGGTTGTGATGGTGATTGTGTTGAACAGCCGAGTTTCCCCCAGGGAATCGATGCAAGTTTGGAGGTTGGCGGTGGAAGAAGGCAGTGAATGGGTCGTGGTGAGGCAGCTGGTGAGGCAGCTGGTGCGGCACCTGGCTGTGCATCAGTCCGGGAGCCTGAGGTTGGGCTTGGCCCGGACCTGGGCCACCGTTCCCGCCAGTCCCCACACCGGCACCGGCGCCTGTACCGGCGCCCAAGCTCTGCCCTGGGCCCGAGACACCGCTTAAGCCCGAAATATACGGGTCCGATCCAGAGCTCCTTGAATAATGGTGGATTTGGTGGTGCGGAGGCAGGCCGACCTGTGCAGGCCACGGGAATGCGGGGTGTGTGGAAGGATTCCACGAAGTGTTGCCAGCAGAATGGACCGGGTCGTAATAAAGGCTGTGTTGGTGCGACTGATGGGTGCTCCGGTTTGGCGACGGTGACAGGAAAGCAGTGCCCTGGTGCTGAGGTTGATGGGGATGGGGGTGCTGTTGGTGAAGGGTGGGGTGGGTTTGTTGAGGATGCTGTTGTTGCGGGTACTGTGGCAAGTTCGAAAGCTGCTGCTGTTGGTGCTGGTAATTTTGGTGGTGGTCTGGCCGAAAATACGGGCACCCTTGAGACTGCTGCGGGGCATGCTGCGGGGTGTTTTGCTGCCCCTGGCCGTGGCCGTGGCCGTGAGCCTGCCGGACAGCCTGAGCTTGCTGGAATGCCGCCTGAATCTGTTGATCTTGTTGCTGAGCCGGCGAAGCCGAAGCGTCAGGATGATGCATCACATAGTCCATTTCCTCCATCGTCCTTCACCAAAGAGGATCAGAAAGCCCCGAAGCTGGTCGACCGGCTCCCTTGTTGTCGCGCTTCCAGGTTCCCAATTTCGCGCGGAGCAGCACCTCAGTAGAGCATCCAACGGCTCGCCCTTCCTTTCTGCCTGATCGAGGACGGAGATCGATTCTGACCAAGGACGAGGGCCTGAGGAATAGACAGCCTAGGTCGGTTTGCAATCACGACGGAAACCTGCAGCAGAGGCTGGACATGGACCATGCACCTTGCTGTTCTCGTTCGCTCTCCCAGCTTCCTTTTCGTGGTGGGGGCAAGAAGGGGCGGACGTTCTCGACAAACAAATATGCCCGTGGCCGGTCGATGAAGTGGCCGGCTGCAGCTCGAAACCGCCGGCGAAAGCGATGCTGGCAAAAGCTGTTCTTCCGGAATTCTGGATTTTGCAGTTGTCTAGAAGACACAGTCAAAAGTAAAGCGTTGCGGCCAAGGCAACTTTATTGCAGTTCGTGGCTGAGGGTGTAAGTAATCGGAGCGAAGTGGTGGACCTATTGTCCAGCCTGGTTAATGACGGATCGAGGTATTGTATGTGAATAAATTGATATCCGTCTCTTCACTGTTGTGCACGCACCACAATGACAGCAAGACGGCCACAGTCCCGGTGAATTTTCAAGTCCTAGCCCACCGCAGGCGGGCTTGATGTCCAGAGAAATTGCATTCGTCTGATGCAGAGGTTGCGGGTGAATGTTCTCGGTCGGTCCGACGATCGGGATCCTGCAGCGTCCAGCACCCACTTCCTTCTCGTCGTTCGTGTCCCACGCTGATTCACCAGGCTGGTTTCCTCCTCTTGTTGTCTTTCTCTTCTACTTTCGATCGGCCCAACAATCCCCGCTTCAAGTTTCAGCAGATGCCTCCGTCTTTTCTCCTTTTGATGTCTGGGCCCCTTTCCCCTCGCGGCTGCTTGGCTGAACCCCGCAATGTCCGAGGCTGACGAGACGAAGCCGTTACGTCGGTGAGGCGGGCGGACAAGTACCTGGTAAGTGCCCGCGCAGCTTCAACGAAAGGGATGCCAGAAGCTCTCACGGCGGGAGCTGGCGAAGAGGATGACAGCCCCTCCGGTTGCGTTGGTTTTACGGTGAGATGCAGTGCGAAATGAGCAGAGCAGCAGGAAGACAAAAGGTTGGACGGAGCGGCAGGCGAGACAAAGTGGGAAGAGCGTTGGTTTTGTATCGGCAAGGCAGAAAGAGGGAGTGGACAGCACCAGACGCACACGCACACGCACACACCCTGGGCTGGCCTGCCGAGTCGGAGACGACTGCCTGACTGACCACTGACCTTGAGTCGCTTGGCTGCCTTTGGAGGGGAATTTTGGAGGGGAGGAGGGAAGAGTGGTGCGTGTGAGGCGGGCGGGCGTGCGTGGTGGGCGTGGGCGTGGGCGGAGGGCGGGCAAAGTCAGTCAAAGCCAGCTGGGCAGGTATGGGGCATGGATGGTATGGATGGGTATGGCATGGTCATGCCATAGTTCCGTACAGCAGCCAT